AAAAAATTCATATGTCAAGTAATAATTATCTATTGGAAATGGATTACGCCTGGCCTCTCGTGAAATATTAACATAGTCACTTGGCAGATGGATATGCCGATTTTTTAATTTTTTTTCGATCATAGCATGGATTGCATCGCATTCCATCTGCGTATGGCCGCGTTCTAGAAACTTTTGATCTATGAGCACATTATTTTTCAAGCTGTAGTGAAACAAAGCATTGGCCATTACCACATTTCTGTTCTGATAACAGCATCCATCCGAATAAATGGTAATTGGCAGTTTTGGATCTGTGCACTTTTCTTCAATGTAATGCAATAAAAATGATGCAAAAGTTGATGCTGTTAAGTCAGATTCGGTTTCGTTCCACCAGTAGCAAGTACTTTGATGAGTTGCTAAGTTGTATACTGTAAAATTATGACAGTTCAATTTCATTTTATAGTAAATTGCACTTGCGTTTATAACGGGGCATATTTTAACAGCTTGAACATCCATAACCAGAGCGTACTTTTCTCTCTTCAACGCTTTCTTCTTGTCTTCTTCCTTTTCTTTTCTGGCCCTATCCTTTTTTTCCAAATGCTTCTTGTAGTCTGCTTCATTTATGCTATTGTTTTCGAAAGAGCAGCATACGTCACATCTGTCTTTTTTTGGCTTGTATAAAGATAGGTTCATTTGCCTAAATATGTCATCAAATATTGGAAAGCTTAAGACATATTTCTGCTTATTGTGATCTTTACAATAATTTTCATAAGTCCGGAAAAGATCCATTTTAGTAGAAAAAATTTGTTCAAGATATAGCTTTTGGGTATCTTTTCTACAGTAATGCGAGCTCAGTTTTGGCAACGATTCTAGCCAATTTCTCAACCACTTTCTCTTATCAGTTTTTGAGGCATGATCAGATCTTGATTTTGCAGACGTAACTCTTTCTGGGTTATCAATTCTCAGTCCATGTTCTGTGTTAGCCACCCAATTGTGAACCATATCTTCCTTGATTCCTAAAGTTCCTAAAAACATTTTTTTGCATACCCTTTTTCTGTCATTCTCTTTTGATCTTAGGTAGTAAAAATAAGTTCCCTTCCTACGGGAAGGACCTTCAGTGGACTGTCTTATTTTTGCCACATATTCCACATTCCCGGTAACGTAGACCTTTTTCTCCTCCCATGAGTCCAAATTCACCCAGAATTTTTCAAAAATCGAAGATCTGTCTTCTTCTGAAAACGTTTGGCAGAAGCGTTTCTTTGACTTTAAACATGCAGTAGATTTGCATGCGTTGGTTATTTTTCTTTCAGGTCTGGGTACCCCTTGTGTAACAACGCCATTTCTATTCCTTTGATAACCTTTATACGCTTTACCAGTTAATCTTAATTTCTTAATTTTATTTCTCGGCCATTCTGACGAAAGTGCTTTTCTCCTTCTCCTCCCAGAACTTTCTTCTTCAGCGGAATAATTGTCAACAAACTCTATTAGAACATCTTTAGCCGGCTGGAGATCAGTAATAGGAACAGATTGTTCTAGGTTCTCGAGCACATCGTTGCATAATACTAGGAGCTGATCGTCATTTTGAATATAAGTGGAAGCCAAATCGTCCGGAATATAGCTCTCTATATCATTGAGGGTCTGGTCTATTTGATCTTGATTATGTTTAGCATTCTTGTCGTCAATAGAAGTGGCACAGGAAGCTAGGTCCTCTGAATTATTATTTGTTATTTCATCAGCCATCTGATATACTTGATTCTGAATTTGTATCACTTGGCTCATATCCGGTTCTTCAGTACTACTTAAAGACTGATTGTCTGCAGCTACATTTGATTTTTCAGTGCAATAAGCAATCATTTTCATAGTTCGACTTAACTTATTTGTCTGTAAAAAAGAAATATTTGTCATAACACTGAAAGTCATTTTTGTTTTGTTTAATTGTAGAAATTTAGGTCAGCTATTTCTTGTAGCAAATACACATGAAAATGAAAAATAAAATAAAAAAGGTTTCTCTACGGGAATTACGGGATAATGTAGTTTAATATTGATATGAGAAACTAAAACAAGGAACTATCATGTTAAAGGGTAAATAATATTTTTAGGACAACAATTATTTTTAGAACCAGAACCATTCATTTAATTTTTCATAAAGTATTAATAATAATTCATCATTGTAATTCATGAATACTGAACATACAATATCCCGTATCTCGAGTTTATTTGTATACATTTATTTTCTTTCCATATTTACAATACCCCGTATCGTTAGCTTTGGTAAATATTCAATGTTTTTTTACTAATTTAATCAAATAGAAGCATTTTGAAAGTTTAAATGATAAGTTCACACAATATTTATTAATAAAAAATCAGTTACTTACCGATTTTTCTCGTATTTCCTGTAATAACGATGACATCTTTATGCAGCTTCAAATTCGACCATTAAAGCAATGTACGAAATGAACGATACAGGGTATCAGCAGTGGATGCGTAGTGTCTACGATATCGGTTATTACAAGAATAATAATTTGGCGCGTTCTAATGCGTTTACGATACTGGGAATTTGCAGAGAGATGGAAGACACTGCTGGGGACATCTTTGGACAAAAAAATGAAATTTCAAAATTTTGCAGATACGGGGTATTAGCATTAAGCCATCGATATATTAAATACATGTAATAATTTTTATTATTAATTTTTTAATCAGTATAATAATCTCTATACACCAAAGTTCAAACACGTTTTCAAACAACAAACATACCTCTTAAAACAGGTTTGAGATTTTTTTCTCTCGTCAATATTTTATTTACACAATTATTCCTATTACAAAAAAAAAAATATTAACTAGATATTTTATCACAATTCCACTACAGGCTGGTATATCATTATTAATGCAAAAAATGATTTCTTGGTAATCTAAATGGAATTATGTAAAAAACGATCATAAATTATGTTTTTGTTTGTTTATTATTAAATGTGAATTAGCCTAATCGAATTATATAACCAGATATTTTTTTTTAAATATATATGTATATATATATATATATATATATATATATATATATAATATATAATATATTATATATATATATATATAGTAAACTCTTAAATATTGGGGAAATCTGCAAAAAAACTCTAATGTGTATCAATTATTTCACCTAACGTTTTCGCCAAAGAGAATTTGGCTTCTTCAGGGCTGAAAGAGAATAAATTATAATTAGCTACCATATATTATCTAATAAAAAACATTTACCTTACCGTGAAATTTTAGAAATGTCGAGTTATGATGTTAAAAACCTTTAGCTAGTAACAACATAGTGGTGTTTTTTTGTTACTATGTGCAAAAAAGTTTATTTGTTAACGTTGGAAATGTATGGTAGCTTTGAACTTAAAACGCAAAGGTTTACCCAAGGACAATCGAAAAACCCAATGTAACTACATTTAAAGGAAGTAATTCTTTGAATTGTCGGCAATAACTAAATTTTTAATTGTTGTAAAGTTTGAATGTGAGCTTCTGTTTTCATAGAACGCAAGCGCCGAAACAATTACAAGTAGTTCTTTTGATATCAAAGTCGTTAAGGTTCATTGGTAAAACCGATGAAGTTAGATCCCAGTCTGGGAGATATTAGTTTAGAATTTCTAATTGAAATTCTTTTTTTTAATTAGTATATTGTTCATGTATTATTGTAATAATATCTTATTGAGATGTATCTAAGAAAAGCAAGGGAATGTTATCTTTTTTTGTTAATGAAAATTATTATTAAAGTAGGTTAGTTTGTTAATAGATATATCAGTCAAGTTGTTATCTGTGATGTTGTATTGTTCTTGGTATCTGATTTAAGTAAGAAGTGGTATATATCGCTTAGATTCTTAATGTCACTCTTAACATTGATGGAAAAATCGTTAAGAAAATATAAGACATTTCAATGAACTCTCTTTTAGATTTATTGCTCTCACGGTGGAGAATTGTAGTGTTCGTATAGTCCATGTGATGACCAGTGGAATGGACATGTTTGGCTAATGCACAGCGGTCAGGGTAAGTCGAAAATCACTTTGTGTAGTGTAATACGTGATTTCAATAATTGAGATGTTTTGACCGATAGGAATTGTTGCAAGAGAGGCATGGAATGTTGTAGACAATATTACTAAGCCTATCTATGGGAGTCTTATCTTTATCTTCGAATAAAGATTATTAATTGTTAGGGGCTGATTCTACAAGCCACATTAAGTTTAATGGTATTATTATTATTAGAAAAGCTATTTTCAAAACTTTTAGAATCCTTGTTAACCCCGGAGTGATATCTCTGAAATAGGTAATGAAAAATATTTATTGATAGCATATCCGAGACTGGGTTCCTACTTAAGACATCAGGATCAGCATTGTTAGTCACGATGTGAAGGTGAAGTATCTTCGTTATGGATAGTGTTAAACAAAATCTTATTTACTAATGGTGTTGATAAGAATTTGAAATAAAAAGTTTCAGAAGATCTATTTACAACAGTTTAGGGATTTGCATACATAATGTGCTAATCAATATCAATATGATGGAAATGGACCATACATAGACGCACTATACGTGAAATTAAATCTCTAACTTGTCTTCTCCTTTTTACTCCCGATTACTCTGAACGATATTCGAAATCAATTCGCTAAGGATTTTTGCTTAGTTGAGGAAACATGACGTGGATGCAAATTTTAGATTCCCCATGATCTCTATTAACATCTTTATCAACGTCTGTTTTGCCTTACAATTCTTAGAAGGCACAGAGTAAAGCAAAAATCTGAATTTGGTCTTGAAAATTAGTTTACGGATTTAAATACATTATAATTTATTAGCAGATGAAAATTTGGCGTTGTAACGTAAAACTCAATAACTTATTGATTACACCATATTGAGCCTTACACAATACAAATACCTTTAAAAACTATTGCAATATTTAAAAGAGTGCTAGTAGTAGAACGGTACCAAAATATTATGGTACCTATAAATAATTGTTACGATTTTTTTAGAATAAGTCACGACAAACATGTTGCAATTAATATTAGTGGCTGTGGTGATAGGAGGCCTGTTTTACTACTATGGCGTTAAGCCCCTAAGATATTGGAAGGAAAGAGGTGTAAAACAGACCAATCCATGGTGGTTGTTTGGAGATAACTGGGGAGTGGTTCTTCAAAGAGAATCTTTCCCGGATATGATTACTAAGGGATACAACACGGCACCTGAAGCTAGGTACGTAAATAAATTTTATAACATTAACGTTTATTAACAGAGCTGTTATTATAACAAAGTTTACATTTAAAAAATATTTTTGTAATATATATATATACATATACCTCCTGCTATCATTTTGGCATCGATACATTATACTTTTACATCAATTTAGAATCGTCTTGCAAAGTAGCATCTGTATAACGACCACAATGTGGCACAATTACCTAAGATTTGACATTATTAATTTGATACTATTTTCTTTCTGTCAAAACTTATTACTATGGTTTCCATTTCTCTTCTATTTTTTATATTTATTTTAGATTAGATTGACAGAGGACCAGAGAACAAAGAGTTATGCAAACCTTCATTGCAAATTTTGATATAATATGTAAAAATGTTTTGTTTGCATTTACTATGATCAAACAGAAATATTAGGAAGAGAAAAAAATTACAACAAAGGACTGTTTCTAGAGATGTGTTTAACAAAACACAATAAACAAAAGTGAAGACATTGAAAATCTTATTACTATATACAGTTATCTTATTTTAAAGAAAAAAACAACAACCATATAAAAGTTCTTTTAAAAAAGTTACACAGATTAAAGGGATTATTTTAAGTTCAAATAAGAAAAAATTTATTTTTATTTGTGGTTGGTTTTTCCTTCTTAATTACATACACTCTACTGCTTGTTTAATAAATGCAAACAAAACATTTTTACATATATCAAAATTCGCAATGAAGGTTTGCATAAACATAGACAATTCCTCTGTCAAACTAACCTAAAATAAATATAAAAAATAGAAGAGACATGGAAACCTTAGTAATAAGTTTTGAGAGAAAGAAAAATAGTATTAAATTAATAATGTCAAATGTTAGGTAATTTTGTTATTTTTATAATACAAACCTCACAAATGTAAGCCTGTTAAAGATACAACAACTCCATTGTTCTAATGTAGTTTCTTATTTTAATTTTTAGTATGTTTTGAAAAAGAGTTAAATAAACTCGAAAGCTCAACAAACCTTAAAATTGACTACAATACCCAAGTTTTCGCTAAAGAGAATTATTTTGGCTTCTTTAGGGCTGAAAGAGAAGAAATTATAATTAGCTACCATATATTATCTATTAAAAAACACTGGTGATCTTACCGTAACTTAGAATTGTAGAGTTAGAATATTAAAAAAACTTAACGCAAGTGTGGTTTTTTGTTACTATGTGAAAAAAAATTTTTTTACTGTTGGAAATGTATGTTTTGTAGCTTTAAACTTAAAACGCAAAGGTGACCCAAGGTTAATCGAAAAACCCAATGTAACTACATTTAAAACGAAGTAATTCTTTGAATTGTCGGCAATAACTAAATTTTTGATTGTTTGAAAATTTAAATGTGAGGTTGTGTTTTATCAGAACGCATGCGCTGACAATTCAAAGTAGTCCTTTTAAATCTTTATGTCGGTAAGGTTCATTGGTAAAACAGAATGAAGTTAAATCTTAGTTTAGGGAAATTTTATTATTTTAGATTTTCTTAATTGAAAAACTTTTTTATTCTATTATATTGTTCATGTATTATAATATCTTATTGAGATGTATCTAAGAAAAGCAAGGGAATGCTATCTTTTTTAATTATTAAAAATGATTATTAAAGTAGGTTAATTGTGAATGAATATATCAGTTAAGTTAGTTATCCGTGATGTTGTATTGTTCTTGGTATAGTTATGACCCCTACATCCAGTTTACTATAGAGAGGGAAGATGGTAATTGGTCCGTCCCCTTTCTCGACAGAAGGATGATCAGAGAAAACAACAACATTAAAATATATTGGTTTTAAAAACCGACCCATTCTAGTAGATACCTTAACTACCACTCTTACCATAATAATTCTACCAAAGTCAACTTAATCAAACAGATGAAAAATAAAGTAATAAAACTATCAGATCGTTCTTTTTATACAAAAAAACCTGGAAATCTTACAGAAACTTAGGAGACATAGGATGTCAAATTGGACACTATTTCAAAAACAAAAAAATGGTCGTATATTTTAAAACTCTCGGTAACAGAGAATTATTAAGAACTATTTGATCGCGATCTGTAATATTACACAGTACGTTATATTTAAAGTACGGAAGTTTTAGACAACTGCTGGTATAACCGGAAGTGGTAGGAGGCTCTAAATATTTTAGAATAATTGGGCATATCCAAAAACCCCGTCTATGAAAATTGGGATAAATATTAATATAACTTTTTATTTTGAAATTTCTTCATTTAACTCCTAATATTTTGTAGGTATAGTGGATTGTATCAATTTACTTTACCAACACTTGTAATAAAAGACCTCAATTTAATCAAACAAATCGGGGTAAAAGATTTTGATTACTTTATGGACCACCGTCCTTTTATCCCGGAGAAAGCTGATCCCCTATGGGGTAAAAACTTATTCGCCCTTACGGGTAAGTAACAATTGTAGATAACAATTTGTGTTAGATTATTTCTATATCTCCATCCAGCTTTCGTCGCCCTCATTATCTGGTAAAACTATTTGCTCATTAGTGAATAAAAATAGAAATTTTTGATTTTTCATTTAAAGTGTTGAAGATTCAATATTATATCTCCTTAACTGTACTTATTGAAATCGATAGCTCTTGACCGAAAAATTGTAGAGTCTTAAAACATGATTTACAGGTCCCCTTTGGTGTAAGAAAGAATTTTATTGAGATTGAAATAAATGTGATTTTCTCCTCATATTCTAATGTATTTTTTTTACAGGAAAAATCCTGTAGAAAAACATTCAAAATATTAGGATAAGAAGGTGCAATACTTTCCTCTCAATGTAAGAAAAACCTTATTGACTTTGAAGCATGTTCATAATTTCTTTAAATTATTCCCTTTAGTAAATTATTTTCACGCCGCCCATGCCTGCATATCCTCCTCAAATAACCGACACTACCGAGCGATTCGTTACGCCTTTTTTTAACAAAGAAAATAACTTCGCAAAATCTTCCCTTCTTCTTTTTATCTTTCATACGTTCAATTAAATTAAAGAAAAAGTTGTAGTAAAGCAGGTAATAAAAGTTCAATCGTTTCAGATAGAAATGCCTTGCGTGAAGGTTTTTTTATTTGGCTCGAGCAATCTATAAAGGGATCTGAACTTAACAAAAGCCTATAATATATATCTAAGTTACACTCCTCCCTAGAAAACTTTCTAGCAAAATTTAACCGGTATGATCGGAAATGCTTGTTCCGGGCTTCTGCAGCTTCTTCTGATAGCTGTCCTATTGGAAGTAGCGAACTTTTTATTAATTTGGCTTCCATGTATCAATAGCTTGTGCATGGTTGGCGTCATTGGGTGCCAATCATACAGTTCCACATACAATTTTGCTGTTTCGTACGCATCCGTATCAAATTTATCAGCATCTATTTTGTGGCCACTTGAAATAGCTTCTAAAATAACTTTAAATCTGTAAATCAGATCAAAGCTAATCCTGTAATGTCTGAAGCCAATTCAGGGTTTTAAAAAATCTGCGGCTTGTGTTGCCAAAAGTTGGCCTTTGGCATGTCAACGAGTAGTCCGGTTTCATTCCGAAACCTCTCCTGAATTTTCCGACTTCTTTTGGACTTCTAATGCCTTTTCTTCTTCACTTTTTCTTTCCCTGTATTTTTTTACAGGTAGTTTATACGCAAGGTGTATAATACTTTCAAAAATACAGATCCGCGCGTGTAATATTGACAAACGAATTCCAAAGCTTGAGGGTTTACAGTATTTTTCATTGACAAATCATTAAAGTTCTTCGAGGTAGCCCCACAAATGTAGCACTGGGATGTTGACTTTGTGTCTGTGGCTGCGTTTTCACACCTTACCGTCAATCATACTCATTGTGAGTTGGTGTCCGAACGAAAACTCTTCTTCATTAACGTAACACTGTACAGTTTAGTTGTTTATAGACTCCTGCACATATTTTATTCTTCTTTGTTACATCTGTTGTTTCTTCACAAATCTAAATCGATTGGCGGCAAAATTTGACGAAGAGGGTTGATTTTGCATATAATTTTACTACCGTTTTTCCACAAACAATGCGCAAAGGTACAAAGGAACTTGTTTAAATTTGGATTGTTGGGCACCGTCACAACCCCATTTGCAAATTATCATTAAAGACTTCCTCTCTTGCTTTTTGCTCCTGATTTTTTCAGGAAAACACCTAGGTGTTTATTTGATTTTGCCCATCGTTGCTTAATTTGTGATTTTATATTAGAATATTTTTGTTTGAAGACATCTTTAGCCTCTTGGTTTTGCCCATAACGCATTAGGAGAAAATTCTCATAATAGTCAAGTTTTTCATTTAATGTTGGTAAATTTTGACTTTGTAATTGGTCAAATATATATATTGACGAGTCACTACTTTAGTACTCGATGCAGTAGGTAGACTCAAAACAAATGAAAAACGAGTTTAATACAAAATAACGCAAACTCAATATTTTTGAAATATTTGACATAGAGCATTTCAAAGAGGCTTAACTCAAAAAAGCGCGAAATTTGCGCGGCTGTTTTTTATAAATTACTTAGTTACGTATGTCAAGTATTTATTATAATAAAATTATGACAGGGACGGACTAAGAAGTACTTTAAAACAGTTATTGAATATAAATTGATGTATAAAAATACATTATGAACAAGGTGATGTTTGTCGTGTTCAAAATTAATGATAGATAATGTGAACTGAGTTATTGTGTTTTCAAAAACAATAGTTCTTACCTGTATTATCGCAATCCATTACAATTAAAACCAAACAATAAGCTTGAAATGAATAATGCACTTAAGAAAGTTATAAGTTTAGGAGAGCGTCGAAAACTAACACGTACAAACTCGTTCACTGTCGAATTCGAATGACCGTAGGCCAGCTCCGGCGCTTCGTTCGTGGGTGGAGGGGATATTATATTGTAGGTGGAACTTGTTGACTCACCGAAACGGTTGATAGCTTACCGTTATTTCGACTTTAAAAAATGACTTTGGCCGCCTAAATATCTAAAATCTATGTATGTGCGTTGGGTCGCCATCTCGTCTTCTGTGTACACTCTTGATGATTGATTGGGGGTTACACAAAGAACGGTACTAGGCTCGGGCTTCAGTCTGGTAGAGGTATCTTGGTCGGGGTTCTTGTTACAGCTCAAATATCACGGATCAATTAAAGAAGTACTTACAACACAAAGACAAGAAGTTAGAAGAGAAGATAAGAGATAAGAGAAGAAAAGTTATTTGGGCACCACCCTATTTTTAGAGGAACAGGGAAACCTTAAGGCACATAGAAAAGGATGACGAGAAAGGTAAGGTACAGCTAGAGAACTCACGCGAGAATAAAGTAAACCGTGAGAGAAAAGGTATCGGAATTATGCGGTACACTCCTAATATTTCGACACATATACTCAAAATATACGATCAAACAAATAATAATATAATTCAATAAAAAATGCCTGGAAGAGAAACACAAAAATATAAATTCAAATTATATAAAAAAATATAAAAGAAATAAAAAGCAAATAGTTCTTTAACAAAATTATATTTAGGTATATTTGTTAAAGTAAATGTACTATACCAAATTTTATTGAACAGTTAAATGGCATGATTATTGCGCAACTTATTATTAATTACAAACAAAAAATATCTCTTTGAAAAATAGTTATAAATAATTTAGTATCCTCAAGAATTAGAAAAAGGCAAGGAACATTATAATTATATCTACGTCAATATTTGGCAAGCAAGTGAATTTTACGCCTTGAGGATACCTAAACATGAAGTTACTAGGTTTTTGATCGTGATCACTTCAAATCTAAGAATAAAATTTATCAGAAATATAATCTACATATAAAATAAATTGTACGTTATTTATACGTATATATTATCCTGTATTTTTATACTCAGTCAAACTAAACCTCCATAAATAAGAAGGTACACTGAACTGGAGTCATAAATCAACTTCTAAAGATTTCGTTATCACAGTTTAGTCAATAAAACTTATACTCACGAAACAGGTGTATTCAGATAATGGTATTACGCCCTCAATAAGGCACTTGACTTCGGTCCGTACAACAGGTAGTTGGGATGACACGCCCACAATAAATTGCGGTCTTCCTAACGTAATCCCTTAGATTGTCTTAGGCCGACGAAAAGAGGCAGCTAGACCGAGAGTAGTACAGGTAGTTGAGATAAAATGAAGATGACTGATGATCGAGGTGAACGAACGTAGCGGTGAATGTGTGAATAGTGTACACGTATGAACGGTGTAAACTATGAACGGTGTAGAATATGAACGGTGTAGAATATGAACGGTGTAGAATATGAACGTGTAAATCTGAACGGCAAACAGAAGTGACTTCAATTGGAAGACGTCTGTTTGACAAAAGAGAAAATAATTAATATAAGACACACTGTGTAAAGATAAATAAGGGTGAATTGAAAATCCACTTACCGCCGATTGTCGAAGATAAGACCGCTTGCCACAGGAACCAACTTGGAAATGAACATCGGATTGTGAACTTAGAAGGGCTTAGACAAGCGAAGGTTGAAAATAGGAGGGGATATTGGCTGAAGGATGCCACGCGAAATTGACATTAAATAGCCGGGCTACTGGGGTTCATTTTCATAGCTTTTACCAATGGAAAGTAAACTTTCTACGAAAAACAACTCTTCTGTTTTTCTGAGAAGGTAGCTCGGAGATTTCACAATAGAGCCTTTTTCCTTTGTTATTAGGAAAGATTTTTATGTACCAAAACAAGATAAAAAGAAGAAGGAACATTTGGCGAAGTTATTTCTTTGTTAAAAAAAAGGCGTAACGAATCGCTCGTAGTGTCGGTTATTTGAGGAAGATATGCAGGCATGGGCGGCGTGAAAATAATTTACTAAAGGGAATAATTTAAAGAAATTATGAACATGCTTCAACGTTGGCTCAACAAATGTTCTGTTTCCTGATTAGCCCTAAAGTCTTGAAATTTAATATATAGAAAAGTATACTCTTTGTATATGAAAGAACTCTTTTGAATTCGATATTAACAAGTCTTCTTCTTCTAATATTTTTAGGCCTTTTCTAGGTTCTTGAATGAAAAGTGATAGCCTTAAAACTTAAAACATTTATTTCTCCCAGTGTAAGTAGGAACATATTAAATTTAGTGTAAATAAATCATCTTCTTATTCTCATAATCAACTGCCTTTTCTTGTTATAAAGGAAAAGTTCCAAAGGAAAAGTTTTAAAATCATGAAATATGTTTTTGTTTACCTAAAATTTCGTCGAGTGTCGATCCTCAGTCACTCGAAACCCTTGGTAGGAGAAATAGGGTAGATGCAGACTCAGTGCCGAGAGAACTAGTTCTTGTATTATAATACATGAACACGTACTGGTACGTGTCGAGTGAGCGGGAGTAGGCAGATTGAGACCCGAACTCGATCCGACCGTTATCCTCTCTTGTTAATGGCTCCAAAAACGGGTGCCTGAAATACGGCGTGCATTGAAACTTCTCAACGCGGTTCTTCCGAGAACCTAGTGATTGGCTTCATCTGACGCGGAAATCTATCGAGCGTATCTATATACTGATATTTGTATCGAGTATATGCGCATATTATAGTGATGCCAATACTTATTTCTATATATATAGATATGTCTATGATATGCCTGAAATATCTATAGATATATATAGTTATATATCCTGTCTATATATATAAAATTGTCTATCTGTTTTGGAAGCCCAGAAACAAATCGTATTAATCTAAATGCATGAAAATTCCTTTTAATTATTTGTGGCTGTTTCAACATAATTAGTTATTTGGGAATTACCTAGCTCATCATATTCACCTATTTATTTACATTTATTAAAACTCTTTTGTCTTTTTAGGACAAAGATGGAAGGAAATGCGACCAATTCTTAGTCCATCATTTACAAGTAGCAAAATGAAATCGATGTTTGTGCTGATGTCGGAATGTGGTGAAAATTTAGTCAACTATTTTATGGAAAAAGACAAAGATAGTACAGAAATTGAAATGAAAGACACATTTACGCGTTTTACTAATGATGTTATTGCCTCAGCAGCTTTTGGAGTGAAGATTGATTCTTTAAAAAATCATGAAAATGAATTCTATCTTATGGGAAAACATGCAACAAATTTCAAGGGTTTCTGGAAGACCATGAAGTTCTTTGGATATATGCTTATACCAAAAATATGGGAGGTATGTTTTATGTTCTAATTAATTATTAACATTCGTTTTTGAACATGTAATTATTTTTTCTTTCTCTCATGTCGCCATATTTCCCAGCTTGATTAAGCTGGATCCGGTTTTTTGGACTGTTTTCCAATGTCCAAATTTCTTAAATTAGTTTATTACTATTATAGGTATATTAACTAGCAAGATATTATAACGATGAAATTGAATGATTGATTTTGATACAGCTGAAAATCAATTATAAAAAATAGTGAAAAGACTTTTAATAAAATTTTTAAGGCCAATATGAATAAGAGTAATCACAGAAGAAAGATTTATAAGTCATTCAAAAACTTATTAAACCTACCTTCAATTTCTCAGAGTAAATAAAGTGATAAATTTCATGGGCGATTATGATACAAACAGTATATATATATATAAATATATATATATATATATATATATATATATAAATATATATATATAATATATATATATATATATATATATTATAT